CAAAGCCAGGTCCTCAGGCAGGAGGAGCAGCCCACATTGATACACAGCTGCCCCATGCCTGTCCCTGGGCTGTGCTCTTCAGGAAACACAAAGACAAGGCGTGGCCCCGGCCTTCATGGAGGAGAGGAGTCGCAGGATCCCATTTTTTGCCAGAGCTGTGTCTTCCAGGGCCTGGGGTGCTCAGCCCTTAGCGGCCCTCCACAGGCTCTCCATCACCTTCAGCCCCACTGGCCGCCCTTCTGAAAGACGTCTCCTCTGGGCGTCCAAACCACAGTTCTCTCTTGGCTCCTGGCTTCTCTGACCTTCCTCTGTTTGGGGCAGGTTTCCTGGTTCCATATTTTCTGCTCACCCTTATCCTTGGGGCAACCCAGGCCTCTGCCATGACACGGTACTGGTCTGGTTTTTCTTTCTCTTGTGTGCTCACCTTCTCCAAGCAGGTCTGCACAAACTCTCCTGCGTCCCACAGATCCCCATGTGCTCGACGTTCCTTTACGTCTCTCCCACTGAGTGTGAGACACAGCAGTTGAAAATCAGAATCCCCCATCGCATCCCTCTCACGCTTGAACGGTGCCTCCTGAGGGAGCCAAGCTGCAAACTTTGGATCTTTGTTTCTCCCTCATTCTGACCCCTACCCCAACCAGATGGCCACCAACGTCTTCTGGTGTCCACACTCGAAGACCCTCGGGTCTATCCTGGCACAGGAGCCCACACTCACTCCCCTCCTCCAAACCACACCCACCCATCCAGAACTGCCCTTGAGATTTTATATCTACATGAGAGACCACTTTGAGCAAGTCTCAACTCCTTAAGGTGGCATTGGATGGTGATCCCCCTGCCCTGCCTGTCCAGCCTCAACTCCTCTCGCCCACCACACCCCAGGCCTTTATCAACCCTGCCGCTGCTCCTGGAGTCCCTGCTGGGAGTCCTCCCAACTACCTGTCACCATCCTCCCCAACTGCTCCCACTCGGGCTCTCCCTCATTGCAGAGGGCACACACCTTCTGTGGCCTGGCAAAGTGTGGTACGTGGTTCTGCGTGTGCCCCAACCCCAGTCAAGTCACTGCCTAGAGGACTCAGTCTCTCTTTCTTTCTCTCTGAAGACCATGCACCGTTCGCTTGAGCTTGATATGGAGGGAGAAATGCAGGGGGCTGGGATAGCTGAGGTGGACTGGCGCTAGGACCTTAGCACAGAGCGGAGCCCAGATGCAGCAGAGGTCAGAGAGGCTGTGGGCAGCAGGAGGGTGCAGGAAATCTGACTCCAAAGGACACCATCGTGCTAGGTGGTCAGAGGAACTCAAGCTTCGTGGACCCGCCAGGCAGGGCCGGGTGGAGGTTGAAGCCAGGTGGCAGCAGGAACCTCCGGTGCAAAGAGGAGGTCCAGCCATCCTCTCGTCATCTCCTGGCTGGGAAAGGGTGCCCTGTCTCAACCTGCTTCCCCTGGGTCCCAGGGAACAGAGGGTCATGGGAATTAAAATCCTGTGTGGACAGCTGCCTGATGCTGAAGAGTTGTCATTTAGTAGGCAGACATCCCTGTTTGACGGGAGGGTGCTCTTCCTAATAGCACAACAGTCACTTCTCCCCACCCCTCCTCCAGAGCCTGCAGTTCCTCCTCTTGAACACAAGATGGCGCGTGCCCTTGACCAGGGTTGAGGTGGCCTGGGGCCTGAGGACCCTGCCTGACTGGCTGGTCAGCACCTGTAAAGGTGAAGGAAGGACAGTGTTAGGTTCCTTGAGAGGCAGATGGACAAATCTAAGGTGACCAAAAAAACAGGCCCATAGGGGACAGCAATTCACATGCGAGTGTGCATGAGTGGGCAGTGTGTGTGTGTGATAGAGTATAGGGTATGAGCGCAGAGGTTTGTGAGAGCCTGAGCATGGCAGTGTAAGAGGGGTGTGTGTGTGCATGTGTGTATGTGTGCACGCGCGCGTATGTGTGTGAATATGAGGAGTGTGGTGGCAGTGGAGGCACGAATGAGGGTGTGAGCGTGAGTATAGGGCATGAGTGTGAGAGAGTGTGAGGTCTCTGTGAGGTCTGAGCCTGTGAGGGTGGGTGTGAGAGTGAAAGTGTGAGGGGGCTGGAACTAGGGTGTGTGAGAGAGAGAGAGACTGAGCATGAGTGGTCCGTTTGGACTTGAGTGTGGGGATGTGTGTATGAGCGTGAGTATAGGGTGTCTGAGTGTGATTGTGGAGGGGTGTGCAGCTGGTGTGGGGGCGTACATGTGTGAGGGTGCATGAGTGTGTGGGTGTGAATGAGAGTCTGAGTATACGTGAGAGAGAGTTTGAGGGACGTGTATAATTGGGGTGTGAGTGTGATTAGGTGTGTGGGGGTACAGGTGAGCGTAGGGTGTGGGGTGACCCTTCTGCTGCTGCCTGCAGCCCCTCACAGAGCCCTGTCTCAGGCCCATCCCTGTGACATTTTCTTAGCCCTCAGCTGAGGCTCCTGAAGCAGGGTCGGGCCCTTGTCACCTCCTGTCCCCCCCCCCTCCAGTCCCCATCACTCCCTGGCCTCTCTTGAGTGTGGTGATGGGCAGCTCTTGCTGCAGGCGTTGAAGGCGTGCTCACCTCCTGCAAAGCACCCTGCCAGCGGCCCTGAGGCTTCGTGAGTCAGAAAGCTCTCTCCTGGAAGCCGGCCAGGATTCCCCGCTGCCCGCCACAGCCTCGCCCACCTGCGTCTGGAGACGTGCTCATTTATAGTGCCAGAACATGGCAGTCCGCTCATCCTCGGTTGAGCTTGTGGGCCTTGTGGGCTTCCTCCCGCTGGTGGAAATGAGAGTGACCAGTTCAGGGTCCTGGGGTCAGTGGCCCTGAGCCCCAGCAAATGGGTTGGCCAGTCCAGAGGCTCCTGAGAGTGGCTGGTGCTTCCTGATGTGACTGGGAATCTGTTTCCTACAGAGCGTGACTGAGCCGGGGTGAGGGAGAGAGCACGGGGCTCCTGGCCACCAGGCTCTGAAACCAGGAAAATAATGGTGGTCCCTGGCATTTGCCTCCCTGGAGCATCGGGGTGTCTTCCTGATGGCTTGTTTTCACCCCTCCTGGGAAATGGACGGGCTCAGGGTAGGCAGGTTCAGATCCTGGTTCTGTCCCTTTCTGGCTGTAGGATCCTGGGTGGAATGTCTCGCCCTCTCTGAACCTGGGGTCAGGTCAGGTCCTCTTTGTTGTGAGGTCATTGTGATTTAATTCAGGTCAAGTGCCCAGCATAAGGCGAGCTGGGTGAATCACAGCTTCTAGAGCTGCTGCTGTTATCTTGTGGGATTTTACTCTGTGACTCTGGTGGCCTACGGTGGCTGTTCTGTGTGGCGCTCACTCTCTGTGGCCCGGTGGTCAGGGCTGGTTGTGGAAAGGAGGCTGTCAGAAATGCGCTTTGTGTCCCCTGGCAGGAAGCACCTGCCTGCTAACTCTAGGGAGAAAGGCAGGTGTGGCGGGCGTACCTTTGAGAGGTGGCCGGGTGCAGGGGTCCACTGTGGATCCCCAGGGCGCCTCGCTCTCTCCCAGCCCACGGTGCTCCACATTCTCCACTCCAGGCGTCGTGACCGGGCTGGGCAAAGCTAGGAAACCATGCATCTTCTGAGGTGGGAACCTGCCTCTTCTCCTCCCTTTTTTTTTTTTTCCTTTACATGACACCTGTTGCTCATAGGTACAAATCAAACGAAGAGTATGTATATGTGCGAGGCCGCGGCCGAGGGAAATATGTTTGTGAGGAGTGTGGAATTCGCTGCAAGAAGCCCAGCATGCTGAAGAAACACATCCGCACCCACACTGACGTCCGACCCTATGTGTGCAAGCACTGTCACTTTGCTTTTAAAACCAAAGGTAAGAGACAGTCAGCTGGGGCACTGGCTCTGCCCCCTGCAGGGAGCTCCCCTCTGGGAGCCCCAGCACAGACCTGTTTGCCTGGGGCCTGACATTCATCTCCTGAGTTACCACCCCACTTGGTGCCTATGGCAGAACAGCCAGCTCCAGACTGGGCAGTGGCACCCACGGCTGCCCCCCGCAGGTGCTCTTGGATCCCGCACACAGCCCCTCCTCCCACCGGCACACCCCCTCACCTCCCTGGGGACACACTCCCTCAGCTCCCTGGGGGCACTCTGCCCAGCTCTTGGTTTCCTACTTATCTCATCGCTCTTCCTTCTGCATGTCTCCGTAGCCGTTAATCCACTGATCTGATAACGTCCAGCATCCACACCCACCCGTCACTGCCACTCTTGCATTTGGAAATCCATCCCACCCTGGGCCACTCAGCACACTCGCATGCTCACACGTCTTGTGCAGAGTTCACTCCTGCCCTACCCCTCCTCACCCCCCCCACCTCCCACCATGCCCCTGCTCTGCCAGGCTTCTCAGTAGCCTTTAGCAAAGGGCCCAGCAGCCCCACCCCTAGACCAGCAGCGTCACTCCTGCCCCGGCCACAACCCACATCAGGGTCAGGACAGGCTCTGGCAGTCACCTGTGAAAGGAAGGACCGGCTGTTGAGAGCATGCATCCCAGAGAGCTGTGATGGGTCACAGCAGTGGCCTGGCCGCCGGGGGTTGGATGAATCAGGTCCATGAGATTCTTGGATGGACTTAGTTAGTTCTTTCCTTGCGAGACCTGCAGGGAGGATCCTGCCTCTTGCTCACTGTTTTGGGGAGCTGAGCAGAATGGGGTGCCTCGGAGCGGGGCACAGGCCCTCAGCACCCTGGTGGATCAGTTCTTATGCTTTGCAAATGCCCGCGTCATGGTTTGGACACAAGGGTGCTATCTTCTCCTTTGAGCATGTTGGGGTCCTTCATGATGGCCTCACATTGTTTTCCAGGGAGCAAAACTCAGCACAGACTTGGGCTTTGCCACTTGTCCTTTCTTCTGTTGATAAAGCTGTTCCCAGTGGTGGCTGCTGGGCAGCCTCTGTGGAAAGAACCCAGTAGAGGCTCCAGCCTCCCTCCTTCCTCCATCCTCTTGTTGCCCGGCCCCTTCCGTTCTTTCTGTACTAGATCAGAGGCCAGTTTATCACATGCCCTGGCTCAGTGGCCTCCTCTCTGGCCATGTTCCTCTTCCTGGTCTCCCAACCCCATTAGCTGAGCCCGACCCTTGTCTGTCCTCTCAACGTCATCTTTGAGTTGAACTCAAATTTTCCCACCAAGGTTTTGGGTTGGATGGAGTTACACAGCCCCCCCCCCACTTCCTTTTCTGTGTCCTCTTCTCTCTTAATGGCTCAGAAACAATGTCCCAGAGAGTGCAGCTAGGCCTGGAGCCTCCTACCCTGCTGATGAGCCCATCAAAGGCATCTATCCCTAGAGCCCTGCCACACCCAGGGCAGCTCAGCTCAACTCAGCCTGGACTCAGGCTCTGTCCCCACATGTCCCCTACCATCCAATTTCCTGTGGCCTTAAGAAGCCAGTTGGAATTTTATGGAAGAGAAAGATGGGGGAAATTGGCTGACAGTTTAAGTAACACAGTCTGAAGTAATACAGCTCTAAAAGCGGAAGGCTTCTTGTCCAAGCCCCTGAGAAGCTGAAGAAAGTGAGTCCCGGAACCAGAAGTGACCATGCACGAGAGCCCCTGCCTCCAGGGCAGCAGCCCTCCCCTTCCTCTGGATGAGCAGGTCCTCCTGTCTCTGGAGGGAGGGGTCAGGTCTGCAGTCAGATGACCTCTGGAGGGGGTGGCAAGTGCTGCTTCAATTCCCAGCACACCCAGGGGATCACAGGGCTCCATCGTCGGCCTGAGGAACCTGGGGGAGTCTCCTGGCCACAGGCCACACAGCACACCGTGCCCGGCACACAGCCCTCTGGGAGCCTCTGCCATGTGAGACAGGAAAAGCCCATCCCTGTTGACTCCCAGCACAGGCAGTCCCCTAAGGGACCCTGCTGAATTCCTCTACCTTGCCTGTTTTGCCAAGTCTGAGTAAGGTCTGGGGTCTTCATGGGAACCCCCACTATCTAGGAGGCACCTTCATTGGAGGCCCCCCCTGGCCTGAGCTCCCTTCCTGGGTCTCTCTGAGCCACCACAGAGTGCAGAAGCTGAGCAGGTGGGGTGGTGCCCCACATCTCCAGGGGTGTGGAGTGTCCTCTGAAGCAGGGCCAGGCCTGGGAAGCTTTGCGGTCAGCCGGGGAGCTTCCCGGCCAGCGCCAGAGGACATCTGAAAAGGCAGAATCCAAACTCTGTGCCTAGCCGAGGGGGCCTCTTGGGGCGGTGGCAGATGGAAGCAGAGAGCGGGTGGCCATGAAGCAGGGAGGACACTGGAGCTCTTGGGCCTCCCTGGGGCCAAGCTCTGATAACGCAGCCCCTCCCTCTCCTGGGCTGTCTGCATACCTCTCAGGTGACCTCCACCACTTTCCTCTCTCTCTTCCTTAAGCTGTGGCCCAGGCAGCCTACATGAGCATTCAGGCTCGGCCTGGCAGTCCTCGGGACCCCTGTCACCTCTGCCTGGCTGTGCCGTGTCTGGGAGCCCTTCCTGTCTGTCTCTGTCTGCCTGTCTGTGTCTCGTCTCTGTGTCAGACGTGGAAGTGGCAGCTCAGGCCTCTGGGAGCCACCTGAGGAGCAAAGGCCCATGGTCTGTCCTCTTCAGATGGTTTCCAGAGGTCAGCAGGGTGGCTGTGCTGTGTGCGGGCCATTGCGCCGATCGCAACCTCAGAGGACAGAGATGGCAGCTGTGGACAGGCCTCGCGTCCATTGGGCCAGCAGGGTCGGGGCAGGGTTCCTCCAGATACCCGTCACCTTCCCCCCACCGGCTTTCCTCCTCCACTCCAAGCTGTCACTTTCCGTGGGGGGGGCTGGGTTGGCTGTGAGAAGTGGTGGCTCTGTCCCTTGACAGGGACCTGGCCTCCAGCCTGTTTCTGCAGGGTCAGGAAGCCTCTCCCTGGTCACAGGCAGTGACAGGTGGGGAAGGAGGAGTGGGGGGTGGGGGAGACAGGACGAGCCCAGGGCCGCTCGCCCAGCATCTGCTCCCGTGACCTGCAGAGTCACCTCAGCCTCCCTGCAGCTTCCAAGGGTGGTGGCAGAGAAGAGGCAGACCTGCCAACTGGGAGCTTTGTGGGGCCTTCTCCTGAGCACCCCTGAGGCCCAGACCGAAAGGTGAAGCCATTTCTTCATGAGAATCACCTGAGCACCTCTCTCTTCCTGGCCCAGCACCATGTGTGGCAGAGTCCCTGGGTGCTCCATAGAGAGTGACTGTCACAGAGTGGGGTGGGTCTGCTCTGGGCCAGCCACAGGTTGTGTCTTCAAATCCTCTCAGCATCCCCACGAGGTAGGTATTACTTTACAGCTGCAGAAACAGACTCAGCAAGGTTCAGAACTTGCTCAGGGTCACACAGCCAGCAGCGGCAGAGCCTGGGCCACCCCAGGGCCTCATGCTCAGAATCATCTTAGACCGTTGCTTCCCCTGCCTGGAGCCAGCAAGGCCCCCAGCGCCCCGAGACCTGGGCCCAGTCAGTGCTCTCAACTAGCTAGCACCGTGACTTGGGGCCACTTGGTCAACCATGGTGGTTAAGGGGAGTCATGCCACCACCCAGGACAGCCAGTGATCTTAGCTAATGGAGTCATCAGCACCTGGGCCCAGAGTTAAGTGAGCAAGCAGGGACAGGCCTCAGCCTGATGGGGGTGGGATTATATGGTCTGTGAGGTCCCTCCCCGACACTAGTGATGGCATTTTCCTAGGGGACACTGTACACCCACAGTGTGCTCAGTATCTAATGTGACTGGCAAGAAACCTAAACCATCTCGGGAAAAATGTTTGTGAGAAATGGCATGATGGCCAGAAGGAGCAGTGTTCATGTCCTCGGTGGCCTGGGGTCATCAATGCAAGGAGGCTGCTTCCAGGGCTTGAGGGGTTGGTGTCTCTGGTCCACGGAAGACCCCAGGAGCCTCTTCCTACCTCTTGACAATCTTCAGGCATGACAGCGAAAGTGGCATTCACGAGGCTGATAGAGACCTTTGGGAACCCTTTGGTCACAAGATGTCTTGGGAAGATATGGTTCTGCTCCCCCTATGGTCAGGAGTAGAACAGCCGGGCTTCTGTCCAGTGGCGGGAGAGGAGGACACCTCTCCACCTGTCCTGCTGCCCTTGGCTCCCCACACCTCAGGGAATCCCAGCTTAAGCTCTCCTCCCCCATCTCTTCAGCAGAACCCCAAAGTTCTCAGGCTGATTCAGAAGCACCCTTTGATCATCCATGGGCAGTCCCCCTCTTTACCCACCCGTCCGTCTCCTCTCCAGCTCATTTCTCCACCATCCACTTTCCCTATCTGTTCCTCGCACTCTTCCGTCCATCTCTCCTTTCGTGTAGCTTCCCTTCCTCTCCTGCAGTCTGACCTCCCACTTCTGCACATGTGTGCAGCCAGCCGGCTGCTCTCCCTCCACCAGCTCTCCACTTCCCTTTCCATCCATCCACCCGTTCATTTCCCTCATCCACTCATCTGCCATCTGTTCATCTGCCTGTCTGCTCATTCTGTCCCTTCCCTCTGCTCTCTTCCCATTCTGCTTTCCTTAGTTCCTCTAGCCACCGAGCCATCCATCCCTCCACCAATCTCTCTCTACCTCCATTCCAGCATGTCTAACTCTTTCCATTCTCCTCTCCTCGTCCATTCATTCAAACTTACACATTAATACAATTCATGAGACAAAGCACCTGACTTGGGGAACTTATGGTTTATTATGTGGTAGAGCATATAGAAATACAGCAGTCCTCAGAGCACAGTATGGGATGGGCCAAAGGAACATCCAAGGCATCTGGGCTGTTCTCTTGGGGCATGCTAGGGGCGCTTGACCTCTCCTCCCAGGACATGGCTGTCCACAGAACTCTGTAGTTCATGAAATGCAGTGCACATGCAGAGGAGAAAGGAATGAAGCTGCTGTTCCCATTTCTCGCTCTCACAGAGCTACGGCCCCTGCTCCATAGCCTGCAGGGCTGGTCTTACAACTTTGGGCACAATTGGCCTCCCCAAGAGTTTTGTAGGCATGGGGCAGGAAAGAGCCTTGGCCTTCCCTGAACCACCTGCATCCTGTGTCTGCACTGCACCTTGGCCTGGGGAAACAGGCCCAGGAAAGACACTCCACTAGGGAAGCCAGGCTTGGGCCCCAGCCCTGTGGCTCCCAGGTTCATGGCCAGTGATGTCCCTACTCTTACTTTCTGTCCTCTCTCCAACCCTAAGAGTAACTTTGCCCTGGATCCTCTTCACAGACCCTAAGGTTCTGCCCTATGGGCTGCCTGGAAGAGTCCTTGGCCAGAAGGCCATGTTCAATCCCCACCCTTCATGATGGTCAGTGGGAGTCCCTATGTTACTGCACCACTTGAGGTGGCCAGTCATCCTGTCTGAGGCAAGCTGCCAGCTCCTGGGCCCAGACTGAAATCAGAATTAGGAAAAAAACAATTGTATGAGTGATCTTTTAATAATTTCTTTCTTTCTTTCTTTCTTTCTTTCTTTTTTTTTTTTTTTTGGTTTTGTTTTTTAACCAGCATCTCTCTTTCTCATTGGACCCTCTGTCTGTCCCTTCACAGCCCCATGCCCTCCCCATCCTGGCTCCTGTGTTCTACCACAACCATCAGCTCTGGCTGCACGCCTTGGCCTGAACATTGGGGCCGAGGGGTGCCTGGCCTCTGCCCAGCCTCTGCAGCTGGCAAGGCCTCTAGTGTGAGAAGCCACAGCTGCCTCTGGCCCTCCCCAGCCCTGTCTTGCAGCTGAACCTGAGTCTGTCCTCGTTCCTTTCCAGGGAATCTGACTAAGCACATGAAGTCGAAAGCCCACAGCAAAAAGTGCCAAGAGACAGGGGTGCTAGAGGAGCTGGAAGCCGAAGAGGGTAAGGAATGGGCACCCTCCACCTGCCCCTCTCCCTGTCCCTTCCATCTGCCCTCCTCTCCACTGATGCCTCTCCCCCTGCTTTTCCCCCTCCCTCCCATGCCTTTCCCTTCTGGCTTCCTCAACTGTTGGGGCACAGAGGTGGAATTCACAGGGGATCACCCCCACTCCCGTCTGCAGTGGTGTTGAGCACTGCCGCCCCGCGGAGCTCTGTGGATGTGCACTGAGTATGAGCACATGTGTCATCACCCTTGGCAACGAACACCAGCTATGTGCCAGGCACGTTCTAAACACGTGCCTGAAATACCCGGCAGACTTCACAATGACTCTGTGGGTCCTTACTCTAGAAGCTCCACAACCACACTCTGACATGGGCCTGAGGGTTTTGAGAGAGCCAAAGCCAGATGCAACAGCTCCTGTCACCTACCAATCCCCATCCCACAACCACAACCCAGCCAAGTCCTCCAGCACCAAGAGTCATGTTAGAGCCAGTCTCCCAGCACACAGGGGAGAGGGGGGAGCTGATTGAGGCTGTGGGTCTGGTGAGCACTGCCCCGTCTCAGCACCCAGGCAGGAAGCCAGAGGAGCTTTGGCAGATGGACAGGTAGTCCCTCCAGCAGAAAAACCTTTGACCACAGATTTCTTGAAATCAGGATCAGGTACTTAGAATATAACATAGGATAACGTGTGTGTGTGTGTGTGTGTGTGTGTATTTTGTTCAGTTTTCATTTTTCAGATTTGGAGATGTATTTGCAGTCTCACAAAAGAGTTAAATCACGTTTCCCTTTCTCTTATAGAACAGAACAGAATGAAATTGGGGCTGTACTTCCCAACACCAAATTATGGGGCTCCCATGCTTGTCAAGAGTAGACATCAGGCCATTTACAGATATTGTTCAATTAGGTCCTCAGAACAGGTGGTAGGAACTTGTGTTTCCGCATCTCAAGAAAGTAAAGTTCAGACAGGTAAAGGCAGTCACCAAAGATCACAGAGATGCACTGGCTCCACACTACTTCCCCATTGCTGGGGGACCTTGAGCCCAACCCAGAGCCTCCCTGGTGGTCCCTGCCTCCCTCCCAGCCTCACTTTCCCAGTGGGGTGGACAAGGATGACCATACCCACCTCTGTGAGAATGAAGTCTACACATTCCTTCCAGAAGCAACTACGAGGACAGCTCTGCTCTGAGCTCCATTGTACAGTGTCAGGAAGCCTGTGTTCTAGAGGGAGAGGCAGACATTGAATAAATATGGAATCGAGTAGAGGAGAGAGGCAGAACAAAAAAAAAAAACAACTGAGAGCCTAGAACATAGCTTTGTGGGGTCTGGGGAGAGCTCTCTGGCAGAGGAAGCAGCAGGTGCTAAGTCCCTAAGACCACAGCACTTTACCCGTGTGGCTAGAGCCCACTGACACCAGGACAGTGGGTCAGAGACCTCATGCCAGGAAGGTCAAGGGGTGTCATCCAGTGTGAGAAGGTAGCACCAGGGACATCCTCTGAACGCCTGGGTGTCATCCAGTGTGAGAAGGTAGCACCAGGGACATCCTCTGAACGCCTGGGCTCTGGCTGGGTGCAGGGCATAGCCGGCAGGGGGCGCAGGGGAGGCAGTGGTCCAGGCCAAGCACACCTTAGGCTCAGTGCAGGTGAGAAGTGGTGGATTCTGGGTGGAGTCAGAGGTAGAGCTCACAGATCTTGCTGTCACATCAGAGAGGGGAGAAGAAGAGGCTAAGGAAAAAAGAACCCAAAGATGACTCTAAGGTGTATAGCTTAAAGATGGAGTTGCCACCTCCTGACTAGGCAGATTCAGGGCATCAGGAGTTGATGTGTGCTGGACAAAGTGGGAAGGTAGCCTGGAAGACCAAGCCCTCTGGTGGCCGGCATTGTAGCCCCGCCCCGGAGGAGATGAGGTTGTGCGCCAGCGCCACCATGTGGCGCATTCCAGCTATGGCACTTAGCAGCGCAGAGGTGCGCTCCTTTGGTGGTCCTAGGGCCCTGAGCTCCTAGTGGGTAGGACTTGTTGAGCTTTGCCCTTGATCCCAGGGGCTGGACATCCCTATGAGAGGCATCAGGAAGGGGCAAACCAGACAGGGGCATATCCCCTAGAGTCCTGCAGGAACCTGGATGTGGAAGGCATGGCCAAGCGTGCACCAGGCTGGGCACCCTTGGCTACCATTATTCATGTGCTGAATGACCAACACAGGCCACCTCAGTCTCTGGGCCTCAACTTCCCCATCAGTGAAGAAGGTCTTTAGGGGCCTCCCTGGTGAATATCAGGAGATGCTGGCCCTGACTCCCTCACCAGCTGCACCACCCAATGACTGATCAGTGCTCATAATGCTGCTCAGCTACCTGCCTCTTAGCTGGTCGTAGCTAAGGATTATTGGGTGCTAACTGTGTGCTGGACCTCAGAACTCTCACAACACCTTTATGAGGGGGCTATTATTACTAATCCCTCTCCCCATTTTACAGGTGAGAAAACTGAACAGAAAGATAAAAGGAAGTTAGCCAGAGTCACACAGCAAGGGAATGGTGAAGTTAGGATCCAAACCAAGGCCATGGATGCTTTTTAAAGCATAAAACCATTTTTAAGCTGTCAGTGTAATAATGCAAGGGCTGTGAACCTTAGTTCTAACTCAGCCAGGAGCTTGATGGATGATTTTGGTTGTACCCGTACCCTCTCTGTGCCTCTGTTTCACCATACCTGAGTGAGGGGCAGGGGTAGGTGAACTTCTGGGGCTGCAGTAGTCTACAGCCAAAGTCTTTGGCAAGGGGACTCAAGTTTGGCCCTAGAGTCAAATTTCAAAACTTTGCCCTCTCATCTCTATCCCCCTTTCCCTCCCAACCCCCACCCCGTCCCCATTTCCTCCCGATTCCTCATCTTTTTGCTCCCTGCTGCCAGGAGACCCTGCCCTTCCTCTTGTGGCCCTCCCCAGCTCTACCCCATCGTTTTGGACCTGCAGCCCACCGAACGTCCTCTTTTGTCCATTTTACTTCTGCATGTTGATTATTTGGAAGCAGGCAGTATTGGGCATCCTAGCCCTGGGGAAGCTGGGCCTGGAGGAGATCCAAAGCCTGGGTGCATCAGGGGCCTGGGTCAGCTGCTATGTCTGGTGGTCCCAGTCAATAGTGGGTGTAGTAGTGGTATATGCAAGTGATGGGCCAGCTGATGGTTCACCAGCCCATACTCTGGCCAGAAACATGAGGTCATCATTATCTAGCAATGGGCCAGCAGGACCCAAACCTCAGGGCCTTTCAGGTGGGCCAGACATCAGCAAAGCTCTCCCCAGCATCTAGAATGCTGCCCATTTCAGATACATCTCAGATTAGACCTAACGGTGACCCACCTGGTCCAAGTTGCTCCTCGAGAAGCCAAACCAGAAAGCTGGCATTTCAGAGCTACTCTCCCCAGGCTAGGAACATCATAGGCTTCTAAAAGGTAGTGGCTCCTCAGGACAAGGGCATGGCCAGGGTGGGCCCTGCTCTGTGACTTGAGGCTAGCTTAGCCAAGCTTCTCACAGGGGCCGTATTTATTCTACTACCTACCAATTGTGCCAGCCAGCAGCACCCGATTATGGTGTCAGATATGTGTTTAGACTAATCATGCAGGCTGGCTTGGAATAATAAATTTCATCTTTAATGAATCCACAGTGACTATAATTTTGGAACCCTGGCTAGGTGCCAGGCCTGCATTTTCTCTTCTTAGCTAACCCTGGGAGGTGAGACTGTCATATTTGTTTGACCAAAGGGGAGACTGAGAAATAGCAAGGTAACATAACTTGCTCATGGTGAAACCCGTCCTGATTATTAATGGAAAAGGAGACTGTCTCACCTGCTGCGGTTCAGCCCCAGACCTACTGTGACCTTATTGGGTAACTTACTGAATCTCTCTTACCTCGGTTTCCGCATCTATAATCTGAAGATTAGGATAGTCCCAGCATTCTTTGAGGACTACATGGATTAATACACTTAAAGCTCTTAGATCTGAACTTGCATGTGGTGGAGATGAAGTCATTGCTGTTCAGGATGATTTACAAAGCATTCGCCTATCTGTTACGTTACTTGGTCCACCCAGAGGTCTTGTGCCATTACCGTAGCAATACTGCCTGGGTGGCAGATCAAGAAACCGGGCTTTAGAAGGAACAGCCAGGGCTGACCTCAGGTCTCCTGCACTCTCCCCTCAGGAACCAGTGATGACCTGTTCCAGGACTCGGAAGGGCGAGAGGGCTCCGAGGCTGTGGAGGAACATCAGTTTTCAGACCTGGAGGACTCCGACTCGGACTCAGACCTGGATGACGACGAGGATGAGGACGAGGAGGAGAGCCAGGACGAGCTGTCCCGGCCATCCTCGGAGGCGCCTCCACCCGGTCTGACAGCCGTGCCGCGGGCAGACTCCTCACCTGTCCAGGGTCCTCGGCCCCCAGATGCCACCTCTGACAAGGAGGCCACACGAGGCGGCTCAGCCTCTGATGCTGAGCGCTTGACAGCCAGCAGTTGCTCCACGTCCAGCCAGAGCATCCTGGGTCTTCCCCAGCTGGGACTGGCCCTGTCGGGCCCTGTGGAGAAGGACACAAGCTCAGCCCTGAGCTCTAAGGCCATGTCCCCCAGAAGGCCATGGTCCCCAAGCAAAGAAGCAGGCAGCCGTCCACCACTCGCCCGCAAACACTCACTCACCAAAAACGACTCATCTCCCCAGCAGTGTTCACCGGCCCCAGAACCGCAGGCCTCAGTTGCAAGCATGCTTGGCCCCCAGATGGGTCCAGGAAGGGACACGGCCCCTCCTCCTTGTGGGTCTCCAAGACTTGCGCTGTCTTCTCTCACTCCCCACCCCCTGGGTAGAGAACTGGCCCCTCGAACACATCTATCCCCAGAACTTGAGGGAACCACAGATCCAGGCCTCTCCAGACGCTCACCCACCAGGAGATGGTCTCTGGGTCAGGCTGAGTCACCACCACGGTCAGCGCTGCCATGGAAGTGGGCCCTGGCTGGGCCAGGCAGCCCCGCAGCGGGTGAGCATGGTCCAGGCTTGGGGCCAGCTCCGCGGGTTCTCTTCCCGCCCACACCTCTACCTCACAGACTTCTTGGCAGAAGCCCGGAGACCTGCACCTCCATGTGGGTGAGTTCCTGCCTGTCACTCCCGGGGGTGGGAGGGTGACAAGTTCACACTTTCTGAGAATCACACCTGGAGCTGAACGACTCTGCCTGCTGAGTCGTTGCTGATAATTTAGCAAAAATTTCCTGGGCGCTACTAGACCAGGCACCAGGCTGGGCACCTTCAGCCATCTGGGTTATGAAACTTTCTTGCAACTTCAGCAGCAGCAAGTGTGGGTTCCGGAGTTCCTGGGTCAGAGTCCTACCCCTAGTGAGAGCCGTGGCCTTGGATATGGGTGGAAATACTCGTGTAATTCCCCACCGGACCCAACCCAGCCTGCTTGTTGGGCAGATGGCAGAGCTTAACCCAAATCATCCCCATCTCCAATGTCATTGTCACAGCTCCCCACAGCCAGTATTGCTCCTGTCAGACCATGAGCACAGCTGCCATGGGCCAACACCGCCCGTCATCCTGGCACCTCATCACCCCACTGATGCACCTGTCCGCCTGATCGATGTTGTCCCATCATCCACACAGTCCCTACCCTATTGTCATGCCATCTCTGTACCACCAGCATCCCTGTCACCACAGGACCCCACCACGGACAGTGCCATCTCTGTCAACTTCACCTACCAACACCTTTTCTGTCACAGTGTTGTCATGACCTGATATTGTCACTCCTGGAGAAATCTTACCTTGATTTTGAATTTGGAGGTCACGTTACAATTCCTCATGGTGGAAGGTCAAGAGCCTTGGGTGGGAACCCAAGGGCCAAGGTGAAGTTGAATGAAGACCATTTTAGGAATAGGAGGGCAGCAGAACCAAGGTAGAGGGCCAGGCCAGAGTGACCACAGGGTCCCCTTCATCGGAGCACCCTTCCTCCAGATGTGCTGGCCGGGGGGGTATGAAGACAATGGGGCAGAGTGTGCCCATGGTCACTGTAGAGCTGGAGACAGCCCGCTGGGCAGCATCGTGAGTACAGCCAGCAGTCTGGTTCTGGCCCCAGCTCAGCTGGTTTCACGGTGGTCTGGGGCCCACTGCTCTCCGTGCCTCTAGGCCGCTGTCCTCCATGGGCCCAGCATGTAACCCTTGCCTTCCCCTGTCTTGTTTTCTGACCCCTGCAGAAGGCCGAGTCCCGAAGTCCAACCTGCTCGCCTGGCCCTGCTCATCCTCTTTCCTCCCGACCCTTCTCCGCCCCCCATGACTTCCACGGCCACATCCCAGCCCGGACAGAGGAGAACATCTTCAGCCACCTGCCTCTGCACTCCCAGCACCTTCCCCGTGCCCCGTGCCCCTTGATTCCCATCGGTGGGATCCAGATGGTACAAGCCCGGCCTGGGGCCCACCCCACCCTGCTGCCAGGGCCTTCCACAGCCTGGGTCAGTGGCTTCTCAGGGGGTGGCAGCGACCTGACAGGGGCCCGAGAGGCCCAGGAGCGAGGCCGCTGGAGTCCCACTGGAACCTCATCAGCCTCTGTGTCCCCCGTGGCTAAGGTCTCCAAGTTCACACTCTCCTCGGAGCTGGAGGACAGAGACTACCCCAAGGAGGGGGAGAGGACAGGCAGAGGCCCAGGCAGACCTCCTGACTGGGAACCCTATGGGGCCAAGGTGCCTGTGGAACCTGTGGCCACACTCAGCCCCTGTACCCCACGGCCACCCCAGGGCCAACAGGTGGCACAGTCCTGGAGCCTCCACTTGGAGTCACCATGCACGCTGGCCACCCCTGAGGCCTCCGTCGCTCCACCACTGGACCGCAGCAGCTCCGTGGGCTGCCTGGCCGAGGTCTCTGCTCGCTTCCCAGCCCGGAGGAGGAACCTCTCTGGGGAACCCAGGACCAGCCAGGGCTCCCCCAAGCCCTCAGGTAGTGGGGAGCCCAGGGCATCGCCACCCCAGCCCAAGGACAGGGCCCCCCCAAGCACTTAGCCTCTCTCCGTCCGACCGCGTCAGCATCTGGCTTCCGGTGTTCCGCAACAGATGTTTGCAGCCAACGTCCTGGAGTCATCTTGCTCCCATGGGCCCCCTGTCCCATCTGTCCATCTGTCCACACAGTTTCTGCTCAGCTCCCATCTGTTATATCTTCCCACGTATTGCAGTTACCTGTGCCTTTTTCTATACCTTTTGTTGCTTGAAAAGAAACAAATCACACACACACACACACACATACATAAAAACAAGACAAACCCACAAGGAGCCTGAGGCTGTGGATAGTTTGAGCTTTCTAGGAAAGGCTGCAGGAGGGGTGCTCTACAGCACCCCTGCAGTCACAGCCACTGCCTCCAAGGACAGCGATAGGCAGCTGCTGGCCTAGGGAAAGGGGATGCACTGAGGGCACAGAACACAATTAAGTGGAGACGCAAGCATTCCGTGTACAGAAGTTTAGGGTCCCTGTTCATCGCTGCTTTAGTTCCCCCTTCCCTGCCCCGGCCAGCGGCCACTCTTTTCTGCCAGAGAAGGGCCAGCAGCCCCAGGCAGATGAACACAAATGCAGGCAGAACCCCAAGAGATCATCTTCTTTTTCCTTTTATTCTCTATAAGAAAAAAAGCGGGGGGTGCAGTTGCTTTTGCTAGAATTTCAACCCAAAATAGCAGGTAGAGGGTAAAAACTGGTTGGTTCCCCCAGGGATCCCAGATCCCCAGCTCATCTGAGTTGTGGGCTTATCCTGGCATTTCCCAGGTGAGCAAGCCATGTGACAGCCCCTCCCTTCAATACCCACCATCCTGCCCCCTGCCTTGCTCTCCTGGCCCTGGCCCTAGGCTGCCCGCAAGGCTGAAGGGCCGAAGCCAAGCCTAGGGACTATCCTCAGCTTGGGGTTTGGATTCTGCTTCACCTCAGTCCCTGCAGCACAGGGGCCTCACGACCTTCATGGCTGGGCTTTTCCAGTGCTCGTCGCTGTGAATTCACAGGGCTCCGGGTCCCTTTGGAGCAGGACTGGTTTCTCTGTCCCCTCCACACATGGCCAGGCCTCTACTACCTAAGGAAATACCCCAAATGGTGACTGGTAGGAACTGCCTGGGCCTATGTTTTGGCTTAAATCTCTTTTAAGACCCCCCCCCGAAAAAAACAACCTATAAATATAGAAAAAGAAGATGGTGTTTGGCATATCCCCCCACCTCCTCCTCTTCTCTTCTTTCAACCTAGAAGAGTTGTGAATTGTACCACATCCTTTGAATTTTTCTCTATTTCCTGGGACAAAAACAAACAAAAAAAAACCCTGCTTTTCAAGAAAAATAATTTGACCAGAAATTTAAATCCCAAGTTAAAATATGGAACTTGACCTCCAGCATGTTTAGCCCATATGATTAATTGTAAAAGTGAGTGCTCCTGTGCACTGCTGCTAAAGGTTCCCATTTCCACCTGGGAGAGGAGGAGTTTCCCCCTATCTTTCCAGAAACAACTAATATTTTACAAAGGGGGAGCCATGGTGTGTCCCACCCAGGCTAGGTGCTGGTGCCACCTTGCACAGAACAGGGATCTCTCTGGCCAGTTCCCAGATCTCTGGCCAGGCCTCAATCTCATGCTTGGCCATCCTTCCCCTCTCTCCAGCTCAGGCCTTTCCCTGCAGGCCCCTGCTGGGTGGACAAACCAGCCACAGGCCCAGCCTCCACCAGAGCAGCTGCTCATTCTCTTTGTCTTGCTCCAAGCTAAGACAAAAAGAGCAGGGCCTCCCTGGGGGCCTCCTATAGTCTCCAGCGAGCGCTGGGGAGTTGGGGTAGTGCCTGGCTGCTTGACTCAGGCTAGGGCTCCTGCTCACCTTAGGAGAAACCAGCAAGCCCACCTGGACCACGTTGGCACTCTTTGGATCTGTAGCAAGTGAGTAAGAGCCTGGGCCCTGGTCACAGAGCCCTGGCCTCTGTCCTGGGGTCCTCTCACTCATCCTGAACCCCTAGGCTTCAAGAGCTGAGCCTCAGAAGCTGGATACAGGGCAAGATCTTCCTGTCCCTGACTGCTGGCTTGGCTCCTGACCTTAGGGATAGCCACCCCCCTCCACCCTACTATACACCCCAAGCTCTCCCAGGCACTGTCTCCCCTGTACTCAAACAATCCATCCACCAAGGTCCCCTTCCTGGGCAGCCTAGTAATGGACAGTGTGGCCATCAGGGGAGAGTCCCTGCAGTTTCCTGAAGAAGTAATGGGCCAGGGGTCACTGGAAATATAAGGGACAGAATACCTTCATAGAATCTGGCCTCAGAGCTGCTGCCCCACAGGGGCCCAGAGGAACCGAATTGATACCACCACAAAGCACAGTGCTAACCCTCTCTGCCAGACCCTGCGCCCACTCTCCTGGGCCCTGGGCCCCCAACCCAGATGCACAACCTCCCGCTTTGGGAAAAACCTCTCTCCAGTCACACCCCATTCTGGGCCTCGGCCCCCTGCCAGCCACACAGTTTCCAACCTGCCTATGATCTACTGCCCCTGCCCTGGGGGATCAGTGGGGCCAGCGGCACTGACGTGGTGCACGCACCCGAGCTAGCTCTGTTGAAATGCCATTTCTCGGGACAGACTAGCTCCTGTCCTTGGATGTTGGCCGTGGGGGAAGAACCAACTTGCTGTGGTTTCCAAACAAACCTTATCTTCTGCTGGGGATCCCAATCCACTTCCCCCCCACCTAGACCTGCCCTCCAGGATGCCCTTCACACCTTGGCAATATCAGTCATTCTGGATACCAACCCCTTTCTTCTCCAAGGACAGGCCTGCTCTCTCCTATCCTTGTCCATAGCTTACACTGGGGTCCCAGCCACTGAGACCCTCCAGGGGCCGGACAGTAGCAAACTGCTCACTCCCCCAGACTTAAGTCCCTCTGTCAGAAAAAGTCTGAAAGAATTCGCTTCCAGATTCCTCTAGGCCCTGTTCCCTTCCCACCCAGTCCTTTGGAATAAGGATAAGCAATGTAGCTGAGCTGAATTCCTCTCCAGACCTTGCTCCAGACAAGTCTTTCTCAAAACTAAAGTCCTGGCCGAGCAGTCATCCTCGGAGACCAGTCTGCCCGGGGGAAGAAAGTTCCCGAAGATCTGTGCAAACTCTGCTTCCGTGTCATGATTCCAGTCTGCTTCCCATTAGGAAAAAAAAAAAAAACGCATCGGCACTTATGATCACTTTACTAAATCTAGTGTTAAAAGAAATGAAAAGAAACAGAAAAAAGAAAACGTGTAGGCAGATGTAAGATACACACTCTCTGTAAGATAAATATTTGCCTTTTTTTTTTCTAAAAGGTGTATGTATTCTGTACGTGAAATTGTCTGTAGAAAGTTTCTATGTTCTTAAATGGCAATACATTCCAAAAATTGTACTGTAGATATGTACAGCCACTGCACTGGGATGGGGTAGTTTTGCCTGTAATTTTATTTAAACTCCGGTTTCTACATTTGCATCTTGCAATGTCAGTATGGTATATATCAGTGCAAAAGAAAAAAAAAAACTCAACAAAAAATCCATGCAGGTCTAAAGCACAGAGTCTGACGTACAAAAGGAAAAAAATGCTCAGTATTGATGTGTGTGACCTTTGTTGTAAATTACATCTGTACTGTGAATGAGAAGTTTTTACAAGTATAATAATTGCCTTTATTACAGCTCCAGCTGAGTGTTCAGCCGGAGGATATTTTTTAAAAAAAGAAAAAGAATAGCACGTTGGAATAAATTTGAAAATCCCAACATAGCCCTGTTTGCCTGCCTTGTGGTCTTTTCAAGAGTGGCAGAATGTCAGAATTGAGGGGACAGTCAGTGTACCGAGTACTCATTTTCTATGGACCGTTCTGATCCAGAGCGGGGTGACTAGGCCACAGTCACCCAGCCCATACTGTCTTAGGGCTCTCGCTTCAGGCCTGGCAACAAAGCACCAGATGTATCACTCTGTGACCAGGGCCTGTGTCCATCTCCTAGGCCTGCCATGACAAATTACCATCAACCAGCTGCTTTGAATAACAGAAACGTGTTCTTTCCCTCAGTCCTGGAAGCCAGTGATTTGAAATCAAGTTTTCTGCAGGGTTGGCTCCTTCTACAGCTCTGAGGAGACTCTGTTCCCTGCCACTCTTCTGGCTTCTGGTGACTGCCACTGTTCCGGGTCTTCCCGGTTTTGTGGTCACCACTCCAGTGACTGTCTCGTCTTCACATTTCTGTGTGTCTTCTCTCTCCTCTAGGCACACTAGTCATTGATGATCGCATCTCAAGATGCTCAATTATTCTGCAGATACCCTTGTTCCAAACAAGGGCACACTCACAGATTCTGGGGAGTAAGATATGACAGTTTTAGGCAAAGGCGGAGGGATTGCCATTCAACTGACTAGAGGAGGATACTTGAAATCCAAACCTGGCACAGCTACTTCCTGCCTATGTGTTCTTGGGCAAGCCAACTAACCTCTCTGTGCTTATTTCCTTATCTGTAAAGTGGAGGTTATTGCTCTGTGCATGTAAGGGTGCTTGAGATGGTACATAGAGGGAGGTTAATAGAACCTTGAACACAGGAAGCTTTCGACTTACTGTGATTTCTGACAAATGATTTCCGAGCAGGACTTCTGCAGGATACTGGGGTCACCAGGGTAGGAAAGATGTGGGTCCCTCCCTTTTGTATTCCACGCTGATCTGCTGAGTGCTGCAAGGGCAGTCATCCATCCGTGAGCAAGACAGATACCGTCTACCTTCTGAGAGCTGCTCTTGTAACAGGCAGCTGTCAGTCACTCCATCGCAGGGCCAAACGATGTACATAGCGAAAGAGAAGTGTGCTCCAGTCCAGAGGAACTCTGGGCCACCCACAGACCTGTCCCTGAGAAAAGTCCTAAGGGTCAGCAAGGCAGGGGAACCATGAGAAGGAGCAGACAGAGGCTGATGGACAATCAGAGGGGTTCTTGGGGCAAAGTGCTACCCAGAGGTTTCGCACTGAGGACCTAAGCGGTCTGCTTGTTTGCACAACAAGGAGTCCAAGCTGGTGCAGGGGAAGCTGGCCTGGGCCCTTTGGAGACATAGTTGACTGCTGAATAAGTGGTGGCAGCAGAAGGTGGTGGTTGAGCAGCCAGGAGACCGGGGAAGGGGATCACCCGCCCACGCCTTGGGGCCCAGGGCACAGGAAGGAGCGAGCTGGGCAGGAGCTGGTGGGAGCTGCAGTCCAGGGGAGGAGGACTGCAGAGCACTGGACAGGCTGACAGGGAGGAAATGACAAGAGCCCTCGCTGACTCCATCAAGAGATGAAGTCACCGTTGTAACTGAGGGCATCCAGAGGGAGGAGGTACAGGCCACCTGGGGATGGACTTTCTCTGTAAACAGAGTGACATCATCTGGGAAAGTTTTAGGAAGAGACTTGAGGAGTTTGGGTGAGCACTGAGAGAAGAGAGTCCACCAGGGAACCAGGCAGGCACCCCGTGGCTCTGAGGGCCATGGCCACCCTCTGCCCCCCTGTGTGGCTTCTTCCAGCGTCCATGCCTCGGGCCTGGGGAAGGACCCAGTCAGATTCATCCAGAGGGTGGTTTATTGTCCAGCAGTGGCACAGAGGGACAGTGAGCACTGGAAGTGAGAATATTGGCAAGTGAAGAGGTGAAGATCTGGACCACTGAATCCATGGGCTGGAAGGTGTGGCTGAGGCAGAGGGAGTCCTGTGGTCACACCATGGGGGGCTGGATGGACACAGAGAAGTCAAGGCCGAGAGTTGCCTTAACCCTACTATTTCAGAGTGAGACGGTAGTAGATGAAGACTGTCGACCACGGGTGTGGTGGCAGAGATACTGTAAGAGAGTGCCACTGGAGGCTCAGAGGCCAGGAGGTGAGCACACAAGGTGCTACGTGGGTACACAGGTGATAAATAAATAAGTCCAGCTGATGGCAGGATTAGGTGGAGATCTGGGCTGTGAGCCAGGGCGTATCGATCAGAATATGTTCTGTTATGTTGCAAAAAAACAAGCAATCCAGCTGGATACGGTGTCACGTGCCTGTGATCCCAGTGGCTTAGGAGGCTAAGGCAGAAGGACCATAAGTTCAAAGCCAGCCTCAGCAACTTATTTCTCTAAGCAATTTAGTGAGACCCTGCCTCAAAATAAATAAATAAATAACAGCCTGGGGATGTGGCTCAGTGGTTAAGTGTCCCTAGGTTCACTCCTGGTACCAAAAAAAAAAAAAAATCCAGACACTCCATGGCCAAGTGCAACATATCCCTTCCATTCACATTTTGCTGGCCAAAGCTAGTCAAATGGTCAGGCTTAATGGAGGAGAATGAAAACAGCCTGAATGGTAATCACACAAAGTCAGGACTTCTCAGAATTAGACCAGGAGATGAGCAGATGTCAGTGGGCGGGGAGGGGATGGTGTCAGCCTCAGAGAGCCTGGATTTATGCAGGGAGTCAAAGAAATAATGACCTGGAGGAGGCCACAGGAGGCAAAGACAGCAGCCAGCATTAAAGTCATGGAGCGTGGAAGGACAAGGAGGTACTAATAAAGCAGGTGCCTGGGAGCATGGCCTCAGGGAGTCTGAGTCTCAGTCCAGCCAGTGGGGAAGTGCAGCCCTGATCAGCCCCAGAAGAGGAAGTAGAGCGTGCTCTGTGTTCAGCATTTTACCCACCCCAATTGACAGTTCTTCAAACCACCCAGAGTAACCATTTGCAGAGAAGAAGTCAGCCAAAGGCACACAGCTGGTCAGTGGCAAGAAGGGGACTAGAACTCTCCTCTGGCTGGCCCCAGACTGCCCAGCTGCTACCACCCAGGGTCCAGCTGGGTCTCTTGTCCAGCAGCTGCAGGCTTGTCAACAGTACCATCTGGCAGCCACGTAGGGTTCTCATGCCTGAGGCCACAGATGTGTGAGGACTGACCAGCAGATGCCAGCACTGGGGTCCAGGACTTGAGAGCACGGAAAGAACACATGAATTCTTTGGAAGATCATCCGCCTACCCTACTGACTACATGTTGCTGGCCGCCAGCCCTCCCAAGTGGCTCTCCCGAGGCCACAAAACCTTTTTCCTCTGGGAGTGGAATAAGACAGGATGCACATTCCCATTTTTACAGAAAAAGGGTGGAGCCCAAGAGGACCCCCTAACCAGTGGCACTCTGGGCCCAGAGTGCAACCCAGAGTCTCAGGAGTGCAGTGGTGTGGTCTGCAGCAGCCAAGGCCTCAACCAAGCTTGGCCTGAGTTCCCATCCCCAGGGTTAGCTGAATCTGCAGGACTGGCAGACCTTGCTCAGTACCCTGACTGGGCTCAGAACCTGGAGACCACGCTCTTCCCTAGAGAACCCTGGAGACAGGTCACACAGGCAGGAACGCCTCCGAAAGCCAGGCCAGCCCGAGTTAGGAGTGAGTAGAGAGACGCAGAGGAAGAAAGGGTCGCAGGGGGGAGAGGGACCTGAGTGCTTCAGCCTGCGGTCATGCTGCACGGGGTCATGCTACCAGGCTAGAGGCCTGCATGGCTATAGCTTGGTAGACCCTGAGAGGAGGGGACTTATCACCGCATCATCCTTCACATAGTAAGAAACCTGGGCTCAGAGAGGTGACCCTGTTTTCCCAAGGTCGTTGTGGTGAGCACCAAGATCATCACAGTTGGGAAATAATTAGCTTCCCCTAGAGGAAAGAGCCTGGGCTTCTTTGCTACCGAGTGGCCCTGGAACCTGGGTTGGTGCTGGGAGGGCCCAGCACCCGTAGTCCCCAATCTAATCCTGGCCTCATCCATTTTAGGAAGACCCAGCTGTCATTTGCCTTCTTTTCAAATGTGAAAACTGATGTCTAGAGCCAGAAGAGCTTGGCCCAAGGCCAGGGCTAGGGTTCCTAAATCCCTGCAGAGCCACCTGTATCACGCGGCCACCCACCTCTGCCACAGGCCTGAGCTGCTGCCCATCTCCCCTGCCCAGCTCTGCCTTTTTAGGAAAGGAAAAGAGCAGCCCTGGTGGCGGGCAGGCAGGCGGGCAGGCAGGCATGCTAATCCACCAGCTCCTGGAGCTCTGGTTACCCGTGGTTTGAGGCCCAGGCAGCCCCAGCTGGGAGTGCCAGCGCAGCCAATGGGTGCCGCCGCGGAGCCACCCAGCCACAGCCATACAAGGTCTTGCTGCAGCCCAGGCCTGAGCCGGCATAGGGCAGCTCCAGTGCTGGCACCCGCCCCACCCCTGAGCCTGCCAGCCCAGCACGTCCTCGGACTCTGCCTAATCCAGCCTGGGAGCAGATAGGGCTGTGGTACACGTGCACCAGGCCCAGGGCTCCCTAAGGTCAGAGAGGTGGCACCCAAGGTAGAGGCCCAACCAGCCATGGGGGTCCAGGCTGGGGTCAGAGTGATGGAACCCAGGCCTGGTCCATGCTGTGCATCTTTTGACCAGACTGTTCTGTTCCCATCATCCCTTTGGCCTGATTGGCCACATGTCCTGCCCCCTCTACCTTTAGGAAGGCCTCAACAAAGTTAGTATGTGACTCCTAGACTTTCTGGGGTCTTCCCAGTGTCCAAACCCAACCCATTTGATTCACCCTGGGTCTAAAACTGCATGCACCTCTCAGAAATTAGAGGTGTCCACTTGCACGTGCATGTTGTGAAAGTGTGCATGTCCCCTTGTGGGCCTGTGTATGCCCACGATCACTGCTGTGGGTCTGGGAAGGTAGAAGCAGGTGTGTTGTCAGCCGCTCCTTGGCAAAGCCCACCCCATCTGTCAGTTCATAATGCCTCTAACTTAATGCGACGAGACCTCTGGGAAGTTTGAAATATAGCCCCATTGACAAGCAGGGAAACCAAGTCATGGAAGGGTTCTTTACTCAAGGTCAGGGTGCCAGGAGTCAGCAGCCCCAGAGGCTGTACTCTGGGCCCCTGCAACAGCCTGATTTCCTCTTCTGTGAGTTTCAGATCCTGGGGAGAAAGGAGTCTGGTAGCATTTCAGGAATGAAAGACATTGTCCAAGACAAGAGGACCCTTTGCTCTTGAGTGGGATGGGTCTTTCCCAGACGTGTGATGCACCAACATTGTCCAGGTGACAGCCATGGACGCTCATTGTGGCCCAAGTGGGCAGCCCACTGCCTGCACTGCCCCGGCCACCACTGACACCTAGGGAACCCAGGTGGGAACCCTAGTTTGGCAGGGAAACCACTGGGTTCGAGCATCCTGGTGCATCCTGCGTGGGACCGGCTGAGCTTGGGGCCAACAGTGAGGAGCTCTACAGAGCCACCAACAGGTGAGGGAAACGTGCCGGCACAGGGGGTGGGGAACCTGTCTGGCATCAGGCTCTGTTTGCTCACCCAAGAAAAGATGAGATAAATATAGACACAGGATTACTCAGACACAGCCTGGGAAAACCGGCTCCCGAGCCTCACTTCAGCGCTGGCCCAGCCTCACCTTCACCGGCCTGCCCACGCTCTGCCTGCTGCCAGGCCTGCCCCGCCTCCTTTCAGGACTCCCCACCTGGAAGCCTTGGGACAGCCCTTCCTACCTACTCTCCCTGGAGATGGGGCAACAGCTGCAGCCCAGAGAGAGCAGATGCTCGCAGACTAGGAACACACAGCGCCAGGGCTGCATTGGGCCACAGGAGTTGCCTTTCCAGGCCAGGCAAGACTCCAAGTCAGACTCAGTTTCCCCACCTGTGAGGTGGGGACTGGTGCCTGCAACCCCCAACTTCCTGAGGCCTACAGGTCGGATGGAGTTGGGGACCACCCAGCCAAAAGGGGTGTGTCTGGAGTCTCATTACTAGAAGATGAGGGTCAGATCAGAGTGTGTAGGGGCTCTGCCCTTGGCCTCCGGAGCCAGGCTGCAGGATCTCGACACCCACCTGTGCCACTTTTTTTTAGCCAGGGGATTTTTGGAAAGTTACTCAACCTTTCTAGCCTCAGTTTCCTCATCTCTAAAATGAGACTAATCATAGCCTTTAATAATAATTAGTATAATTATTACATATTATTTTATAATATGAATATTATGTGTAGTATAAGAATAATAGCAAGGATGAGTTCCTACCTGCAGGAAGCAGTTCCACCAGGGCCTGGCACAGATCAACTACTGCATTTGTGCTTGTTACTATCAGGCCGAGGCAGGCAGGCTGTGGGCACAGGTGGCCTGGGTGGTAGTTCAGAGGCCCTCACATTTCTAGGGAACAGCCTGGTTCTGGGCTGCACAACACATGGCACCCTGCTGGTCTGTGGCCTTTGCAGGACCCTGCCTCTTCCTGGTTTTCAGAGTCAGACACACATGACTTTGAACACCAGCTCCATCCCTGAGACACTGTGTGACCTTCATCAAGTGACTGGTCCTCTCTGAATCTCCAATGGACAGAACATTTGGCACACCTTTCTCTGTCCTAGGATTGGTATGAGGGTTAAATAGGGGAATTGTGGGCAACATCCAGCCCAACTGGGCAAACAGAGTCTCCACATTTCAACTCATTCTGACCCCCTTCTCTTGATTCCTCCAGCTTTCTCCAGTGGCTGTGAGTGCAGTCTGAGAAAGGTCACACCTGGGTCCCTGATCCTCCACATACAAGGGCCTTCTAGCATAGGAAGCATGCATGCCCCAACATTGTGCATGAGCACAGACCCCTGCCTCAGGTGGATGGGACCCCTAGGGATGTGCATGTTCCCTCCTGCACAGCAGTCCCCCTGCATTGCACTCATACCTGTCCACACAGGTGTCTGCACCTGCCAGTGCACACACACATCCTCATGCACATGCACACACAGGGCACAGCCATACATGGGCACAGAGAGACAGGTGCCTGCAGGTGTGTCCCTGTGCATCCTCACCAACACGCACGGATGTCCTAGCCAGGCCCGGCCCCAGGGTGACCGTCTTCATGGCAGAAGAATGCAGACAGCTGGCAATGCTCTGCCAGCGGACGTGAGGGAGAGGCCGAGGGGAAACCGCATGGGCAGGAATCCCAGCAGGCGTGCCAGACTGAGGTGGGGCCCTCGAGTGCCAGGAATTGTGCAGGGTGGGGGGGCACGTGCAGATGCTTGCTTGCTCCAATCTCTCCATCACCCCTGTCACCTCAGAACCTCTGGGTCTTGAAGGTCAAAAGGGCTCCACACAAGGCTGACTGAAGGTTCTACCTGTCCCACCACCGTGCCATGTGGCAGGGCCCTGTCTTTCTTTGGGCTGCAGTGGTGGGTCTAAGCTTGGACCACATGGTCTTCCTCACTGGGGAACCAGAAGAATCTATGAGCACCGAGATCTGCAGGAAGATTGTCGTGACTGATGCAATGCTACAGGTCAAGGGAGATGATGACTATGTGGAGGTCACTGTAACTCTCTGGGTGCAGACTAGGAGCAGGGGCTAATTTGCAAACTCCCTGAACATTCAAAAGGGAGGCTGCTCCTCACTTATGGATGCAGAGTGCAAATCTGAGGTGCAAAGAAGCAAAGCCCAGAGCTGGTTGATTCCGGAGTCTACCATCAAACCACTGTGCTATGCGGGCGGCTCTGCCTCCACACACCCTTCACTCTCTGATAGAGAGATCTACAAGTGATCTAAGTATGGCCAGCAGAAAGACAGGTACTGCCCAAATGCCAGGACCCTGGCTCCAAGCAGAGAGGGGCCTCCCTGGCCCCTGCAGCAAATATCCTTCCCCACCTGTGCCACCTGTGGAGAAGACCACCATACAGGGCAGGGCCAGACTGAGAGCCATCCAGGTCTTTGGACTTTTCTGCCAGTGCCCATCGCTGGAAGTGAGCTGAGACTGGGTGGGGCCATGTCAGGGTACCCAGAAAGGATGGGCAGTAGGTGGAAACAAGGCCACTGTAAGGTGAACTCCAGGGTAAGGAGAGGTCACCCCCATCTCCTTCATATAAAACAAGAGAAACAAAAGCCAAAGGGTTCCAGAAAACAAAGAGCCAGGGGTGGGACTGGCCAGGTCTCCAGTAAAGGGTCCTCAATTGCAGAATCCCAAAGGCCAGGACTAACAAAGGTGGTCTCCTGAAAAAAAGACCTCCATGCTCCAGCCCTGTGTGCTAGGTGGGACTGTGGGGACTACACCCTGGTGTCAGGGACCTTGTGGTTGAGAGAAGGGAGAAGGAACAGAAGGGGAAGGGATAGGGTACTTCCTGCAGCTCAGCTGGCCACCCAGCCTGCCCCATGTAGTTCCTACTCAGACTTGGTCATGTCTGACCACAGAGGAAACTAAACTGGATTCCCACTTGAAGATGGTGCAGTCAAGGAAGGACCTGAGGAGCAAGGGACATGCCAACGCACACAGAGTTGGAGGGAACAGCCCACACAGAGCCTTGGGACTTCTCACTCCTTTTGCTGGAGCTGACCACCTCAGCAGCACCGCAGCAGTGTGGGAAGTAGGACACTTCAGCCATGTGGAGGGGCCACACCCATCAGGAGGAAGGGGCCTGGTCAAACTGCCCTGGGGTCCTGACTGCTGGGCCAGTACCAGTGTGGCTGGGCAGATGGCTTCCCCTGTCTGGAATTGTCTCCAATTCCACCAGCAGCAATGCCTGCTACTCAAGGTTGTTCTGGTCATTAGGTGGCATTGCCTTTAGAAGGATGAGACACAGCCTGGCACATCAAGGACCTTCAATGTGACCATCTGTAGTTTGCAAAGACTTCTCAAGGACCATACATTCCTTTGCAAAGTTTTATGTCTCCAGGCTTGAGGCCTCCTTACCCAGGACAGAACTCTGGGGAGGAGAGACTGCCAGTATCCTCCCATTTGCAAGCTGAACAGGCCCAGTCCCAGAGAAGGGGAGTGTCCAGGGACAAACACACAGCAAGCTGGAGGTAGGGCTTGGAGGAGGACTCACCTCGGCTTCCTTCTCCCACACCCCCCTTGATGTGAACCAGGGAATGGCCCCCAAATAGCCTCCCTAGGGCAGCTTCAGGACTTGCTGTGGCTATTAAAGGTCTCAGTCCCTCCTACTGGCCCTTCCAGGGCAGGTGCCTTTCTCCCCCTCGGACAATCCCGCACCCCACCGTGGTTTCCCTGTGGTCCTCACGGATGCTGGGCTACCAGGACCATTTAGAGCCAGCCCTACTACGACTTGGATGCAAGTGGAGCGTCCCCGCCTGCAGCCGCGGTGGGCTGGGCCACCGGGCCCTGGGGGGTGGAGGAGAGGTGGGGGGCGTGTGGTGTCCCTGAGAGCCAGCGGCGGCCCTGCACTGCAGCGGTGTGCACGTGGCCGCGTTGCTGCCGCGAGGTGATGTCAGGCCCCGCCGTGCCCGGGCTCTGGCACGTTCGTTCGCGGAGCGAGGAACAAAGCGTCCTCCGCATTCCTGCGCGCTGACTCACTGCCGTCACGTAGCGCGCCGCCACCGCCGCGCAGCTTTGCCCAAAATTGGTCGCGAGGCGAGGGCGGGTCCGCCACCCGCTCGGTGCTGGCCTCGCCGCCTTGCGATTGGCCCCTGGCCCCAGGTCTCCCAAAACGATGTGAAAACGAGAGAGAATGGGCCGCGTCAGGTACGGTTGTAGGGACGTGGTATGAGGTTTCTCGCCTAATCCTTCCTATGAGGAAGGTACTGTCCCCATTACCCTTTTACAAATGGGGAAACTGAAGCACAGGGAGGTTATAGATGGGGAAGCCGAGGCAGGGGAGATGACAGAGAAAGATGCCGGCACTGCTTTGCTCTAGGTGATCAGGGAATCGCAGAGCTAGGACTTGAACCCAGGTCGTAAGATTTCAGAACCTGCACGTATCCCCTAAAGTGCACCGCGTGTGGCCACGCCATGCGTGCCCTCCAAGCTCCCTGCCCCACGGGGGTTGAGATCAGGTCGGTGGGATGCGCCTATTGTTCCTCACTTCGCGTGGCTAAGCCTCCTTCCCTCACCCAGAAAGTGGGTCCTGGCAGAAGGGGGCCCCCCAGAGGTTGCTGGGGGAAATTACAAGTGAGGATCCAAGTATTACTGTCTAATGGAAAGAAGAGGAAAAGGGGCTTTGGTTCAATACACCTCGGTGGTGTGCTGCCCCTCTCCCCCACCCCCACCCCCCCAGGGTCACACAGAGCAGCAGCAAAGTACAGAGAGGAGCTGAGTTAAGCTGAGCATCTTCTTCCAGGCAGAGCTTTCCTGGAATGCACCTCAGTGCCGATAGGGGACATTGAGGTACCTTAGCCCCATGGGATCTACACTTTGTCAGATCTGAAAACTGAGGGTGGGGGGGGCTCTGTCCTGGATTCCTCTTCTGGCCCAGCCTCTGTCTCCATTGGAGTCTGGTTCCGGAGAACATGGATCTCTTTGGAGTTGGAAGCTGTTGGGGCCAGAGACCCTCTAGCCCTAAGCTTGCAAGGATGAGGTGTTCTCAGATGCCAAGATAGACTGGGCAGCTCTTCCCCTGGCTGGGGCTCTTCTGAGAGTCCAGGCAAGAATCTGAAGGAGGTCCCCACACTTCCCTTCCAGGACTGGACCCCAGGCCCCGCCCTGCCCCAGCCTTCCCTTTCCCTTCTGTCTCACTTTGATCTCTTGGGTTGGTGTTCAAGACCCTTGTGTCCTGGCCTCCAGCCTCCTCTCTGATCACCGAGTGCCTTCAGCCATCTATTCCTCGGCTTCTTCAGCCTCAGTCAAATGACTCTCCTGCCAGGAACCCACCCCGCCCCCAGCCTCCTGGCTGAGGCCTTGCTCATTCCTCTGGGGGCCTGTACTCCTTATCTGTCCTTCCCTTTTGAGCCAGGCACAGAACACACACTGGTCCTTAGTCTCAGCACTTTCATTCCCAGACTTTCCACACTGCCAGCTCCCTGTCCTAGACAAGTACTGATGCCTCTGGGGTCCCTTTCCCCAAATCCCAGCCAAGCCAGAGACCCCCCAAAACTATCCCTCAACTCCCCCCCCCAAACATCTGACACAGAGTGAGCTCAGCGTGCTTGCTGCATGGTACCAGGAACATGGTCTTGGGGCCTGAGACCCCTCTCTTCTATTTCTGGCTGTGTAACCTTGAGCAGCTGATGCAGCCTCTCTGAACCTCACTCCCAGGCCCCACCCAGTCCACTTTTCCAGGTTTGTTTTGGAGAATCAAATGAAGGAAAGCAGGGAGAGTACCTGGCACGTGGGCACAGCTCCCTACACGGCTGTCATTACCACCAGGTCCTTATTACAGACCTCCCTTATGCCTGAGGCCTGGGTTCCAAGGCTGGGCGGCAGGCAGCAGGCAGGTGATGAACTCAGAAGCAGCCGCAGCCCCTGGTTGACTCAGGCTGAGGAGGTCCCAGGAAAAGTGGTTGCTTTATGTTCAGCCTGAAGCAGTCAGGCTCTGCCTTCCCCTCCCCACCTCCACATTCATCCAAGTTCAAGGCCACCTCCCGTTAGCTGGGGGAGCTGTTCATCTGGCTGCTGTGTGACCTTGGCAACACTCACCCTCTCTGAACCCATCCTGGAGAGTGCTGTAATGGGGCAGGCTGTGACCTCACAAGGACCCCAAGCTCATCTTCCAGGCACACATGATGGGAGCTCTCCCATAGCATCTAGGCTCCACAGAGTGGGTCTCCCTCTCTCTTTTCAGTACCTGGCCTGCGGTATGGTGGGAACTCTCAGGAACCTTGCACACCATCCTCCACCTCCTTCTGAGAGCCTGGGGTTATTATTTTTGATACATTGAGAAACTGAGCCCAGAAATCAAAGGGCTATTTCCCAACACCACACAGTAAGGGCCACGGTCACCTGCTCTCTAGGGGGCTCCTGGCTGGTGGTGGCTGCCCCCCTCATTTCTCCCCAGCTCCAGCTGGTGCCAGGAGATAGCCAGGAATCATCAACTTACAAGATCTTTGCACGAATCTGTAGGACAGAGAGAGTCAAAGCTCAGAGAGCTGGAAGTGTTTGTCCCAAGTCACACATCACAGGGGTAGAGAGCAAGATTCTGTCCCCTATTTTTCTGACCTGCTCCTGTCCCAGCTGCTCCCCTTTTGGGCAGGGTTTTGGGGTTCTAGAAATTCAAGGTCTCAGGGAACCCAAAGGGAGGCCTTTGGTCTCACAGACACCCCCTGGCTATGGGCGGCCAAAGAGGGGATGTGCTTGTCCTTCCAGGTTGGGCCCACCAGGCCCGCCTGGGCCCGAGGCTCCCTGCCAGACCCATTGTGAGGTCATCCGGCCATCCCAGCTCCCTGTCTGATCTCGCTTCGGTGACTCAGCCCTGCCTTACCCAAACCTCCCCCTCCTAGAGGACCCCAACAATGGCTGGCCTGGCCTGGGCTGCCCCTGCTACCCGCCCGTACAGGGCCTCCCTCCCTGAGTCACTGCTCAACTCACCACCCGGCACAGTGCGTCAACAGCCTCCTCCTCTCCCCCAAGCTCCCAGGGTTCCCAGTGCTAAAGGACCAGGGACCAGGCTGAGGGATAGGTGGGGGAGACTTCTGCTGCCCCCAGACTTGGGCCCTGGGTTGACCCCCTGGACCTACTTTTGGGGACTCTCTGACCCCAATAGGAAAATCCAAACTGGACTTGAGAATTCAGGCCTAAAACTCCAGTTGACCTGGGTTCAGATCCCTTGCTAGATGGATGACCTTAGACAAGACACCAGATTCCTGATGAAGAATAAGAGCAAGGAAATGAACTGCATCCCACGTGGATCATGTATGCTGGGATGGTGGCTAAGGATGCAAGCCACGATGCAGCCATGACACAGGCAGACCTAGATTCAAGGAACAAGCCACTTCACCCCTCTAAGCCTTCTCTTCTATGTTGTGGGAATAACAAGGACTCTGCTATGGTGATTCAATGTGATGATACATGTGAAAGGTTCTGTGTAGCGTCTGACACATGGAAAGTGCTCAGTGAATAGCAGCTACGATTGATCCTATATGTACCAGGCACATGGTGGGTCCGCATTGCTTTCAATGAATGATGGAGAGATGGAGAACATCTTCTTCCCTGATGCTCGGGAGGCAGCTCCCCAAGCTGAGGGTCCCAGTGGAGCTGGACAGGGTCGCTTAATGAAGAGTGGGTGGACTTCACTGACTTCCCTATTTCCAATTCAATTCGTATTTATTGGGCATGTGATTTGAAAAAGGGCAGTGGGGTTGGGAGAGATGTTGTAGGTGACAAAGGGCAGAAGGATGGAAGTAGCTCCAACCCTCGAATCAGAGAGGCCTGAGTTTGAGCTCCAACCATTCAAAAAGACTAGCTCCCCAACCTTAGAGTCTGGAGATGGGTGCATGGGTGTACCTCAGAGGGTTACTGCTGTACGGATTAAGTGGGAGCTTGGTGACTGTGCTCTGTCGTCAGGCGCAATCAGTAACAACGTTGGCGTCCATCTCTTTCTCATTTAATCCTCCCTCAGCCCTGCTGCTGCAACTATACACACTTCATAGGGGAAGAAATCAGGACCCTGAGAAAGAGGAAAGGGCACATGGGATGAGAGGGTCTGGGATCAAAGCCTAACTCAGTCTGACACCAGAATTAGAGCCCTCAGTCACCAGCCTGCCCTCAAGGACAGGCAAGATGAGGCTGGATAAGAGTTGACTCTTCGTAAGACCTGTGTGGGTGTCAGGGAGGCTTGGCACGCCTGGCTTGGATGGAGTTTGGAATGCTTCCTGGGGGAGGTAGCATCTGCAATGGGCCTTGAAAGATGAGCAGAAGAGATCAAGTAAGAAAGGAGAAAGGATGGGTGGCCCCAGAGTGCATGGAGAGGTGGGAGCGGGCAGGGCTGCTGTGTGCCAGGGACTGCCCTAAAGCCTTGGGCACCCAGATCAGCCCTGAGGGAATGAGGCAGGAAAGATAGCTCAGGGTCAGACCCTGGCAAGCCCGATGCCGGCCAGCCTGGGCATTCTGTGAATCGCCTCACCCAGATGCCAGGCTGGGCCCTGGTCACAGACTCCAAGGGAAAGCTTGGCTTTTGTGGGAAGACAGGTTTGCCCAGAAGTCTCCCGAATCTCAACACATCTCTGTCCAGAGGGGCATTATATGGTGACCTAAAGTGAACACGGGTGACTGGAGCCAGCTAGGATGGATGTTTGCCTTGGAGAGTCGGGGTCATCCAGAGCAGTGGAGGGGTTACCTGTGGGGATCTGGCCCACAGCGTGAAGATGACACAAGTCCACTCTACACACACACACACACACACACACACACACACACACACACACACACATGCACACCCTACTCCTTTCCAGGAGTGTGCCCTACCATGAGGCCCATATATATCTGCAGCCCAAGCTGAGGAAGAGGGGCCAGAGGCCAGCGGGCAGAGCCTGCTTGTGCCAGATCTTACGTTGGCTCAGCCCCAAAGCCTCCCAGCAGCTATCAGGTGGGACATGTCTTCCGAGATGCCTTTGAAAGATGTGGCCTCCGACACTGAGGAAGGTTAAACATGGTGCAGCGTTGGTCACGTGACAGTGAGCCACAGAACCGTCCCTGCCCTTACTACCTTTGGCCTGGCCCAGTGTTGGGCACTTGTCCACAGAAGGTTGGAGGGAATCCGGTGAGGGTGGGGGGATTCAAGCCTGAGTCACAAGGCTTTGAAGCTGGCACCCGGATCTGCCAAGCCTCAGAGGTGCCAGGGGTGGGTGGCCCCTGACTCACCCCCACACCCTGAGCTGCCCCAGGCAGTGGCTTTAGCTCCTGACCGCCCTGCCTGCCAGAGCCGGGCTGTGCCCCTCCTGGGTCACTCATAGCTCAGGATTCCCAGTAGCTGGGCGGGAAGGCCAAGGCCTTCAGGCAAGGAGGTATCCCAGGCACACCTTTTCTCAGGAATGTCGGCCTGAAATCACAGTGGGAAGCCCAGCTTTGCCTGCCTGCTGGGCACCAAGTTATCCTGAAGGTGCAGGCACCAGGCACTTATTTTTAGCTGACACTGAATTCTAGAATGAAGTACTGTACTTCTGCGTGGCCCGGCCTCCTGGTGGCTCACCCCTTCCCAGAGGGGAAAGGCGGCCTCCTGGTGGGGCCCTGGGTGCGCCTTGGAAAACATGGGTTCTAGGCAACAGAGTGGGTGTGGCTCTGAAAAATACCAGCTGCATGTCTTGGCTGGTGGTGGTGTTGGTGGGATGGAGGCGAAGGTTGGGGTTCCAACCCCTCCAAAGCAGGAGTCCAGGCCTCAGAGAGAAGAGTCCAGACACCCTGGTTTTTTAGGATCCAGGCCTAGCAGGGAGACCTCAGGCAACTATTCTTTTTCCTAGACCTCAGTTTCCTCATCTGAGTATAGAACCAAAGGCCCTTGCACTTGTGGGTGGCTGTCTGATCTTTTTTCTAAGAGTTATCTCAAGTCTTCATTGTTAGAGCATTTTTTTAAAAATATTTATTTTTTAGTTGTAGTTGGACACAATATCTTTATGGTATTTACTTATTTTTATGTGGTGCTGAGGATCTAACCCAGAGCCTCGCACATGCTAGGCAAGCGCTCTACCACTGAGCCACAATCCCAGTCCTGTTAGAGCATTTTTAAAGATGAGGCCTAGACACCCAACCCCTCATTAGAAGGGGTATCTGTGCAAAGAACAGGCCTTGTCTGGTGATAGAAAGCCATCCTGTGACACTCCATTTCACCCCAGTCTTTGACACAAACTGTGGGCCCAGACTCCGCTAAGCCCTGGACTGGGAATTCCAGAGGAAGCCATGTGTCAATGAGCTCATGGTCATGAGAGGTGATGCTCTCCCTAGGAAATAACAAAACTGGCTTCAGGGAAAGTGTTACCTGCCTTTCTAGCTTTGGCCCTTCTAACCTCTCCTATCTCATTCCTACTGAAGGAGGGTGGAGGGAAAGGAGGCTGGTTGGGTGGATGTATGGGTGGAAGGATGGAGAAAAGGTTAGACAATGGGTGGATGGAGGAGGTTTGATGGAAGGAAGGATGCATGGATGGAGAGATGGATGGATGAGGGGTGGTGGGTGGATAGACAGGAGGACGATGGGATAGATGGGGTGTAAGCTGCAGTGTCAGTGGATGAGTATGGGGGAAAGCCTAGCCCTGCCTCTTGTTCACGGTGTGAGTGAATAAGTCCTTTTCTTTGGGGCCTCATCTGTGGTGAGAATCATGGGCTCAGCCTGCCTCTCAGGTTTGCTTTTGAGATCAAATGAAATAAGAATGGACTGGTCGGGGCTGAAGATGTGGCTCAAGCGGTAGCGTGCTCGCCTGGCATGCGTGCGGCCCGGGTTCGATCCTCAGCACCACATACCAACAAAGATGTTGTGTCTGCCGATAACTAAAAAAATAAATATTAAAATTCTCTCTCTCTTTTTAAAAAAAAAAAAGAATGGACTGGTCATGCCAGACAGGCCTCAGCCACTGGCCTCTTGAGTTCCATGCTGCGTTTTGTATTTGGGGACACAGGTGAGAGGCCTGCCTCTACTCCTGGGCCCCCCTCTTTGCAAGCCTGCACAGAACTCTCTGCCTGGTACAAGCCAAGAGGAGCCCTTGGAGGGGAGGTACTTGACTCCCAAAGGCCAGGGAGTCAAGAAAGCACAATGGGGACACACAGAATTCAGGCTGGGACCTTGCAGTTACATAGACCTGTCTTCTAGTTCTGGCTTTGCCACACCCAAGCTGTCTGACATTGGGCAAGTCACTTACTCTCTCTGAGCCTCAGTTTCCTCACTTATAAAATAGGGACAAATTACGATACCTGCCCCGTGAGTATGTTGTGATAGTTAATGGACATAATTCATGTAAATCACTTAGTACGGGGCTTGGGATATATTAAGTACTCAATAAATACACACTGCTTGCCTTATCCCCCAAAAGGTTAAATAGGGAATCAGGCCCTGACTACTCAGAGGGAACAAAAAAATTGGAGTCCAGAGATTTCCATCCTAAGAGCTGAGTTCCTGAGTTGGTCATCTTATTTCAAACGGCCCAGCAGGACTCACATGGTCACCTGACCAGGATGCTTTGACTGAACAAGGTCTGCTTTTAGTGAACTGCCACAAGTTGCATGGGCCTCACTGACCCTGTTCTGGTGATTCTTGGATTAATAACAAACAAGGCACATGAATTACTTCTTTAAAAGTACAGTTTATGTGGGAGTTATAAATCTTTCCAAATGGGCTGAGATGGAGAGAGAAGGAAGCAAAAGGGGTGTCCTCAAAGAAGTCATAGAGACCAGAGGAGCCAGGCCCACAGGGCTGAGGTTGCCCTCGTGGAAACCCAGCATGGGGACAATGGTGTGGGTGGTGGTGGCCCTGATGGTTCAGTGCCACCAATTGCACAAGGCCCAGACTACCCACCATAAGCGGGCCCTGAGACTGAGTGGCCCAAACCCAATAGCACAGCCCAACCTTTCCCAGCCTTGGGGACAAGTAGTGATAGGAATATTTGAAGTCCCCAAACCCTGAGCCCCCAGCCTAGGCTCGTTCCACAGCGGAACCCTCCCAGTCTCCCATAACCGTCGATCCTGACACGGGCCCCTGCTCAGCTCCTCTTTGCTCACTTGCTAAGCTGCTTGCATGATGTGTACCTGCAGCAAAACACTGTGTCCCTTCTGCCAGGGTCACAAACAGAACTTTCTGAAACCTGGTAGGGCCAGGTGGCCATGGGGGTGACTGGTTTTCCAGAGTCAAGAGAAGGGAAGGCCCCAAGCTGGACACAAGAGCCATGTAGCCATAAGCCAGGCGTCCATTTGGGGAGCTCCAAATTCATGTCACTGGCTTCAGAATGTGACAGGCCATCAGGGTTGACAGCATCTCTCACCATTGATGGGAAGGCGGGAAGGGACAGGACTGGTACATGGCCACACAGTGTGAGTAGCCCTGGACAAAGCCCCCTGGTCCAGGGCCTTACCTGCTGCACCCCCCACCCCTTTTTTTTTAACTGAGGTACAATATTGTTGGTACACTCGACCCTCAGTCTATGTGTCCTCCATCCAACAAGGGTCCATGGCTGCTGGCCAGCTACTCAATGGGGCCATATGCACCCCACGCAAGGATTATAGAGGAAGATTTGGGGTACACAGGGAGACAGCCCAGGCTCATCCTAGTGCCCTGGTCTTTCTGTCAGTGGGGTTCAACTGGGGTGAGGGTGTCAGAGCCCTGGGCCCCAAAGGACCCAGGACCCCAGGCACAGCTGCATCCTGGGAGAACCTCGGGAGTATATGGAAAGAGTAGGGCTAGATTAGGATCCAGGAGAGCATGCCCAGCCCCATTTCTGTCTTAAACAAGTGGTTTAAGTTGTCTCCTTGGACCCAGTTATCTCATCTACAGGGAGTGAAGGCTGGAGGGGATTTCTACAGGGCAATTCCTAGTGTTGCGTCTCACCCAAAATACAGATGCCTCCGCTGTCCTCTGCTGCCAGCCTTCCTCCCACTGAGTCTCTCCCTCTCCAGTTGGGCTGGGGTGGAGTACAGGGGGGAACAAACCATTTTGTGTGGAAAATAGTTCCATCTAAATTCTGACAGGGTGACCTTTGGTGAATCCCAGACCTCTCTGGGCAGCCTTTAGAGACCCAGGCAGACGGCAAAACCAGGTTGGGTGGGGAGGGGCAGCATATGGTGGTGTCAGGGCAGCTGGTGGGCACCAGAGGAGGTGGGGGGGGCATGCCGACAGATCAACCCCCAAGGGCAGGAACATGCAGCCAGGCCCCTTAGAAGGACCCACATCAAGGTCACCAGAGCACTTACTGCGCAGGGGTCAAGGTGTCATAGTCCCTGACCCGGGAGAGGCCAAGGTGATCGTCAGGGCCCAGGTGAGTGGTCCAGGGGCTGGCGTTGGCTATTTTGAACTCAGCTTAATTTTCTCTACCTGGAAACCAACTCTGGCCAGTGGGGTAGCACTGTTCCCGGAATGTCTTCCTCCCCTAAGACCTGGCCCACTCAGGTTCCCAGGCCAGGCCTCTCCATTTCACAGGAGCTCTGGGTGCCCAGCTGGAGCCCAGGGCACGGAAGGAGGGAAACCGGAGCTGGGCTCAGCGCGCAGCTCCCTGCGCTGACCCCTAGAGGCCCCAGCAGCGGCCCCTGCCCTGTCCTCATCCTCCTTTCTCAGGGATCCTGTCTCTGGGTCCATTTAATGCTTCTATTATGTTTCTCAGACTCGGAGCCTCTGGCTCCCTATTGTCCCGGGCAGGCGTTTTGCATTTGTGTAAAGATTAGCCACGTTCGAGCTGCACCTCTCACTCCCTACCGTCTTCCTCCTCTACTTTCTCCAATCCCAGCTGTTCCTTTCTCCCCGTGCACGTTTCCTGGTTCTGCGTTCCCCCTACCTGTCTTTATCGGCCTCCCTGTTTGTTTTCCTCCCTGCCCTGACCCCCTCCTTCTCCCCGCTGACCTGCTTTGGCTGCTTTCTTCTCTTCACGGCTCAGTAGTTTGCATTCTCTCCGCCCCCTCCCCCCCCACCCCTGCCCAAGTCCCTGTTCATATTCTCCCCAAGGCAAATAGAAAGGACTGGGAGTATTGCTCCCTCATTCCAGAAATATTCTCCAAAATTCTTAAGACAGGCACGGTGTGGGGGAGGGCCCGGGAGCTCCCCTGCACAGGGAGTCACTTGTGGTTTGTTTGCGAGACCAACATCAGGGTCCCAATGCCAGCTCTGCCCCTGTGCCAGCTGTGTGGCAGAGGCGGCCCTGATCCTCTAAGAGCCTCCTGGTGGACAGTCATGGAGCTGACACCGGATGACAACAGCTGCCTCCTGGTGGGCAGTGAGGAGCCCAGAGTGCTCCCAGCACACAGCAAGTGCTCAAGAAAGACGCTTCTGATTCACACTGTGCCTGGCCCCAGTCTGGGGGAAGGAAGACCACGGTAGATGGCATCGGCCTCCATTGATTCCGTCCAGCTTTAATAGGGTTCTCACAGCAAAACTGCCAGTTCCTGTGGTCACCTCTTTTCTCCTTCATGTGTATCTAATGCAGGGACCAAGCCAAACTACGGGATGGCCAGGGTCCCACAGTTGAAAGCCAGGCCTGTCTTCACTCACCCCGCCTCCCTCAGAGAGCACTCACAGGGCTCCGACTGTGTGCAGGGCCAGCCATGGGCCCTGCCTTCCCTGGGTTTCTGGACCTCCATGAGTGCTGGGGAGACAGGCTCAAGGTCCTGCGTCAGGCAGGCTCTGGACATTCCAAAGAGTGAGAAGGGCCTTTCCCGTTTGCCTGGAGACAGGGTCCCTAAGAAGACGCGTGGGAGGTGGACTCGGAGCCAGGCCTGGGCAGGCACAGGGTGACTGCCAATTCCCTGCGCTGCTTGGTCCCTCAAGGTGCTCAGCTTGGCACCTGCACACCCCTACTCTTGTCTCCAGTGAAGGTTCTGGGCCAGCAGAGAGATGGGGAGCAGAATGCCAATCCCCAGGGAGCCCCCTGCCCTGCCTTGTCTCCCCCCCCACACACACTTTTCCTTTGCATAAAGTAGTCCCCGAGGTGAGCTTAGCATCCAGTCATGTCCAAGAAGGGAGAGCACTCAGCCCGCTTGTGTGTGCGCCCACAGGGACCTGGTCCTGGAAAGGGCCCTGGGGTCACCTTCTTTGTCTCAAGGGAGACTCCAAGGCAATCAGGTTAAGAAACCCCCTATTTTGCAAATAAGGAAACTGAGACCCTGGAGGAATAGCCGCAGCCACAGCTGTGTGGCTGAAGAGCTTCTGCAGGAGGCACTGAGGAATTGGGGGCGCAGGGGGCAGGGGCACTTCCTGGGTGAGGTGGGGATGAGGCAGCCTCCAGCTGGTCAGAGGTCAGGGGTGAGCTGTGTCCTTCACTGAGGGAAGCAGCCCCAGAGGAGGCTCTGACTCGCCCAAGGCCACTTGGCCTTGACTGGGCCTTTCACATCCCACACAGGAGAAGGGCATCCTCATCCTGGTTGGCAGTGGACAGGCGGGAAAGATGCAGTGTCTCATCTGCTCACAGAACTGCCCCCCCAAACTCCGAGCTCAGGGCAAGGGCTGTGGAGGCCCACCGGAGGGTGGGGGAAGGAGTGTGGGGCACTTTGAGGATGACTTGAGGAGGTCCAGTAGGACTGAAGGGGCCCTTGGGGGCTGCAGGAGAGCCTTAGGACTCCCAGAGGTGCTACGGGAGCAGAACCTTCCACCTCCCTCCCCCCACGACACTGAGGCTAGGGCGGGCCAGGCACCCGGGGGAGGAGGCGCGTCCCTGGCTCTCAGCCCAAGGTGAGGCGGGGCTGGACAGCAGGGGCGGGGCGCTGTGCCTGGTATTATAAGAGGCAACCAGGGCACCAAGGCAATGAGCTACCAGCTCGGCTTAGCAGCAGGACTCTGGCAACAGACGTTCCCGCTCCGGTCCAGCCCAGCCTGTGCACTGTACCGCTGCTATGGCCTCTGTGCCCACCACCTGGTGCTCCGTTGCTCTAGCCCTGCTTGTGGCCCTGCACGAAGGTGAGCCTCCCTGGCCTCGCCTGCTGCTGCAGCCCCCCGGCCTGCCTGTCGCGTCTCTCCCAGAGCTGCTGTGCCCCCAGGCCAATGGGGGGCATGCAGGCGGGAGCCGTGGTGGGGTGCTCTGCAGGTGCAGAGGCGCTGCAGGCATGGGGCAGCTGCTGGGGCTTCCCCGGGCTGGCCAGGAGCTCCCGAGCAGTCAGAGTGCCAACTTCCTCAATTGTGCAAGAGGAGGAGCCTGGCGGGTCCCCCTATCCCAGGCCGTGCCAGCGCCCTGACCACCTCTCCGCCTCTCTCTCCCTCCTGTGCGTTCAGGGAAGGGCCAGGCTGCTGCCACTCAGGAGCAGCCAGCGCTCTCGCCCCATGCCCGAGGCGCCCACCTGCGGTTCCGCCGCTGCTCCTGCAGCTCCTGGCTTGACAAGGAGTGCGTCTACTTCTGCCACCTGGACATCATCTGGGTGAACACTCCTGGGTGAGTATCCATGGAGATCCAGGTGGGGGCTACCAAGGGGCAGGGGGGCAGGGCAAGGATACCGGCATGCTGGGGGACATTTGACACAGTCTGGCTCTCCCCGGGGCCTCCCGATAGAGGCATTGGGCTAATGTCAGTACCGACCAGTTATTGTTTCATCTCCCATGTGGGAGTCTCCAGAGACAGGTAGAGGGCTGTCTCCCGTGAATATTCACAACGGCCTGGTAAGAAACTGTTGGCTCCATTTTCCAGATCAGAATAGTGAGACTCAGAGAAGTTAGGTGACTTTCCCCAAGATCACACAGAAAGGAGTTGGTGGTAGACCCCATCCCTACTCTGTGGATACCAGAGCATATATCTACTCAATCAAGATGCCTCTGCAAAGAATACAATTAGTGATCCATGTTTTGATTGTGCCAGGCCCTATGCCAAGCACCGCATGTGCAGTTTCATCTCATGGGTCCCCTGGCCGCCCCATGAGGCACTATTGTTGTCCCCAAATGACAGATGAGAAACCTGCCCTCTGTTCCCTGGCTGAGCCGCAGTGGGAGCCGGGTGCTGTCTGTTCTGCCTGCACCCGCGCTGCCCCCAGGCCACTGCATACCTCAAGTTGAAGTTTCTGTGTGTGTTTGTGTGTGTGTGTGTGTGTGTGTGTGTGTGTGTGTGTGTGTTTCTGCCCCAAATTGCATAAGGCAAGAGAGGCCCAGCACGTAAGTGTGTGTGGAGCTAATCCGCATCCAAACACTTGCTCAGGGCGGGAACCCTGCCAGGCCCTGCTCTCTGGGTCCACCTGGAGTCATTACAGCTCTAACCACCAGCTAAAATTAGCTGTCACCCAAAGGTGCTGGTCCAACCAGACTTGGGGCCCCTGCCCTGCCCCGACCACCCCAGTCAGGCTGAATCTGCAATCAACCCCACCTCCACACACACACACACACACACACACACACACACACACACACACACCCCTTGTTGTAAATTAAAGCTCTGAAGTGTATTTGTCACTCCTCCCAGCAAGTGGTGCTGGGTGGGAGCAGCTTAGCCCCAGCCTGCAGCCTGCGTGTTTACGTCTATGAAATGGAGGCTCCTCCTTTCCTTCAGGACCAGCTGGAGCCTTTTTGCACAGGGGACTCGACTCCATTGGCTGGAGTTCCTGTCTGGGAAGGGAGAAGGGCTGGGAGGACTCCCCAGTTCCTGCCTTTAGGTGGGACCCTAGACTCCAGCCACTTCCTCCCTGTGCTGGGAGCCCTCACTGAGCCCAGCTGAGCCAGGGCCCAGATGCCCAGAGAAGGGACGAGTCTTGTCCAGGGCCACCCAGCACTTGTAGAGGAGCCTGTGACTTTAGTGGTGGGCCTTCTTGAGATCAGTGGATGGTCACTTCTCATTGCCATTCTGGTGGCAAGATTGACCGTTCCAGTGTGCAGTGTGCACAGTCGCTGCTCACCAATGGCTGTGGTTGATCTAATCCTCTCTCCCTCTCTCTCAATCTCTCTCTCTCTCTCTCTCTCTCTCTCTCTCTCTCTCTCTCTCCCTGCCCCACACCATTACCTTGTTGGCTGCCCGCCCACAGACAGACAGCTCCTTACGGCCTGGGAAACCCGCCAAGGCGCCGGCGCCGCTCCCTGCCAAGGCGCTGTGAGTGCTCCAGCACCGAGGACTCTGCCTGTGCCACCTTCTGCCATCAGACACCCTGGTAGGTGGGCACCGGGCCTGCAGAGGGAGGGATGGCTGCTGGTCTGGACCTGCCCTGGGAGCAGGATGTCCAGGAGGCCAGCAGAGGGGCTAGCAGGGGTCAAGCAAGTGGCCCTGGGTGCATGAGCAATGTCCCTTCCTGCAGGCACCAGTCTCCTCTGAGTGCAGCTCTGGGGGCTTCTGAGAACACTCAGGTCCTCGCTCCTGTCTGGGCAGAAGGACTGCTCCCCAGTGACGGCTGAGGGAGCTCAGGCCCAAAGAGAGGTCAGGACTTGTGTCGGGCCTCCAAGGGATCAAGCTCCCCTGGGCCTTAGAGGCCAGCCTGAGTCCCGGGGCCTTCAGAGCTTCCTCGGGGGAAAAATAGCCTCTGGAGTTGAGAAGCCGAGACCCCATCCCAGTGTCACAGAGTTACTGGGCTTGAAAGGGGGGTTCTCCAAGGCTTCTGATTGTCCCCGGCCTCAGTTTTCTCATCTGTAAAAGGACTGGGAGATTTTGTTCCCTTACTTAGACCATGTGGGACAGCAGGGACTGGCTTCCAAAATCCCCAGCTCCGGTTCCCAGGATGGTTTACAAGAAAGTCCTCCTCTGAGGCTCCAGCTGGGGCGGAGTTTCCTCAAGCTGCCTCAGTTTCCCCTAAAGCTGCAGGTGGCCAGATTCTGGGAAGAGCAGCCTCCCAGCTAGCTGCCTCTTTTTTAAGACCGAGAATCTGTTCCCGGTAGCTCGGTGTTCCTCAGTCCCCACCCTGCCTGGGAAAGGCAGGATGCCAGGTGCACAGAGTGGAAATGGATCTGCTCCTGAGGGCGGGTGGGGCAGGGGGCTGGGCTGGGCCTGCAGCCAGGTGGCTTTGGGGCCCTGGATAGCCCCTCACTGGGGCCTTATTGCTCTCTATTCAGGGTTGAAGCCGGGTCAGTCCTAAGCAGCCAGTCCCCTGCAGATGTGTTGCAGACTAGAAAGGCGTGGGCCAAGGAAGGAGAGCTCCTCCAGAGACTAAGGTAAGCGTATCGCCCTGGTCCAACGTGCCCTGGAGGCCTTTCCCATCTCCCTTCTCCACATGAGGCGTGAGTGTTCATTGTCCATCCAAGAGAACAGAGACTCAGAGAGGGAAAGCCACTTGCCCAAAGTCACACAGTGGCATCTGGCTGACTCCAGAGTTTGCACGCTCAACCACTGTTTTTTGTTACCCCTGGGCCTTGGTGTGCAGTGTTTTAGAGGGTTTAAGGGCTCATGACTGGGAAGGATCACAGTTGTTCATTCAGGCTATCTCCATCAATCGTCTCCCACAACCTGAGACTTGGAGGGGCCAACTGCCC